ATATATATATATATATATATATATTAACTCTTTTATAATTCTCTTATTATTAATATTAATATTGAGATAGTGCATATTTGTGTTATTCACTTCACAATTTAAAGATCTTTAAATGACTCAATGGAGCATGCTATAATGTGAAACTATATGTTATATGTTTTAAGTTTGAAAAATCTAAAAAGAAACAAAGTTACTATCTTTCGTGAATTTAGTTGATATCTTTTGTCAACTAGCAAGGTAAAAACCTTTTTTACGTGTTAATTTGTTGTCAATTTGTGATAACCTAATAAATTAATTAATTTTATTAATTTTTAGGACTTTGTGGCAATTTTTGAGTGTTGAACCTTGTCTAACTTATTTTTGGATTGAAATGTTTTGAGAGACATTTCGGCATAAAGCTCAATGTTATGTGTTTTAATACCATAATAATAATTCATGGTGTTTAAATTGAATTGCAATTAAGGTGGCACTAAATTTGTACATATGAGTTAATTAAAATTGATTACATTTAATGGTATTATTAGTGGTAACTCTTGGTAGTGGAGGTATTGGGTTTGACAACTAAGTGATTATGGTTTATCTTTCGAAAATGACTCCAACTAAAAGTTGAGGAACAATTATAACCAATTGTTTTATTCACAAGACTACCTAGAATTTTAATTTCAAATATGGTTAATTACTATTGGAAGCAATGACTATTAATTAATTATTAATTGACTATTAATCGGATGTGTGGTTAACTTTTTAATTAAACAAATTAAGCATGGAGGTATGTTTTTCCTCTCTTAATTTTTCTTTAATTTTGTCATTATTGGGAGACTAATAGTAGGGCTTTCTTAAGAGGTTTTATTTATATGTTAAGTAGCCTTTCAAAGAGAATTAAAATTATGAGTGAAAGTGTCAATTTGTTGTTACTTTATAGATTGTTTTGTTATTAAGTAAAAAATAGAATAAAAAGTGCTTATGAGATGAAATGATTTGTTAAAGAAAATATAGGAATTATGGATCAATAAAAAAAATTAAAGAGTTTTTAAGTTCTAATTTCATATGAAAGACTTGAGAGAAATTTGTGAGATTTTAGGTATTAAAATACGAAAAACTTAAATTAGTTTTCTCTCTAAGTCAAGCTTATTATATTTAAAAATTTATTAAAGAAATTTTAATAGTTTTGATGTTGTATGTGGCAGAGCTTCATATGATTGTATCATTCATCTTGAAAAAAAATTATGGAATGTCATTGGAAGGGGAACCGATGTTTCTTAATCTGAATATGCAAAAATAATTGGTAGTGTTATTGAAAAAAAATTATGGAATGTAATTGGAAGGGGAAAAGATGTTTATTAATATGAATATGAAAAAATAATTGGTAGTGTTATGCATCTCATAAATTACTCTATAATTGATATTACACATGTTGTAAGTAAATTTAGTAGATACACTTATAATTTAAATGATGGTTATTAAATAGTGTTTTTGAGTCTTTTAGAAGTATTTAAAGGTACTATAACTTGGAGTTTAGAATTTATTAACTTTCCAACTGTCTCAAAAGGCTTTTGTGATGCAAATTGGAGTTCAGAAAATGATAATGTAAGAATATATTCACTTTAGCAGGTTATATTGTTTCTTAGAAATCAACAAAACAAACATGTATAACATAGTTTACAATGGAATTGGAATTCCTAATACTTGAACATGCAAGTGAATAAGCATAATAGTTAAAGGGGTATAATGGCTAATATACTATTATGCGGAAGATCTACATCTCTTGTATCCCTTCATTCTTATTAATAAGCTACAATTATTGTGACTAATAGTGCTTATAATGATAAGAGAGAAGACACATGTATGAGACATGGTGTTGTCAAAATTTTAATTAAAAATTGTGGTATCTCACACAAGTATGTAAAAAGTGAGAAAATCCTTATAGATCCTTTACAAAAGGATTACTCAATAAAATTATCTTGGATATGTCGAGGGGATAGGCTTGAAGTAATGAGTGGAGGAAAGTATAGTGGATACTCAATTAGTGGTCAAACAAAGCCATATGAATATTCCTATGCACTACTTTTCTCATCCATATGGCCTTTGATAGTGTTTGATGTGAGGTTGAGTCATGAGCTCTTAATAGATACATAGTCCTTGATATGGGTGATGCTATAGAGACACACTTGATGTATCTACCTACGTGAGTGTGTGAAGACATAAGTCACCTTCCATGAAAAACTTTGGCTATCTTTCTAGAGTATTCATGGGCAACTCATGGTGAATATACATATAAAGGCTTAAAGTATTGTGTAAAACTTTAATCATGGAACTATCATGATTTTAAAGGTAAAAGTAGGGATGTATGCAGGTTGGGTTGGACCGGGTTTAGATATACCAATTACCCGACCCAATCAAAATTTAATGGATTGGGTTGGGTTGGATTTGTGTAATTTTTTTCAAAACTCAATCCAACTCAACCCAATCATGAACGGGTTGGGTTAGGTTGGTTTAATCAAGTCATCATAATTATATTTATTTATTTTTTGTAAAAATTTAAATATTTCAAAATAGATATAAATCATTTGATACATTATTGTAAATTTTATGCTATCAACCTATAAAGCAAATAATGATGCAAGTTAAATTATAAAATAAATTTATTAATTTGTTACATTATTATCAACTCAAAAAATCAACATTAATTAATACAAAATAAAATTTAAAATAAATATACTATATTGTTACAATGTTATCAACCTAAAACACAAAACTTATTACTAAGTAAGAGTGACAATGAGTAATGTTCTAAGCAAATGATTATTCAAACATTATTATTATTATTATTATTATTATTATTATTATTATTATTATTATATATGATCAGGTTGGGTCGGGTCAATAATAGGTTGAAAATACAAAACTCTTTACCCGACCCATATAGTACCGGATTTTGATCGGGTTGGGTTGGGTTTGACCCAAACACTAAAAAAAATCCACCCCGAACTCATTGGGTTGGTTTAGGTCAATTCAATTTCGTGGGTTACCTGTACCCGCTTACACCCCTAGGTAAAAGTGTGTGTTGTGAGGGGTCTCATGTTAAATCCATTAAGTTCAAAAATAATTCACTTTTTGGACATAAGATGTTGTCTCACTAGCACAACGTGTTAAGTCAATCCTATGGACATTAACACTTATGCACAAAAACCTTTCCTTGCCCAAATTTTTTTTTCTCTCTTTCACTTATATGTCATTAGTGGCGAATTGTGGAAATAATGACACATAAGTGTTAATCATTTGGTTGTTACTGTTAACATATTAATTACTTTGTTATTATTGGCATCTTAATTATTTTGTTACCATTGGTATTAAAAGTTTTTATTAATTATTTTTCAACGAATTGATTCTTTATCACTATATAAAAAGTGATGAAGTGAATCTTAAGAGATAAAAACAATTTCTATTTCCTATACTTTTCTTCATACTTATTATTTTTTTGGGTATTGTTCGTGAGACTTCAATATGTTTGACCTTGAGTGCATGATTTGACCTCTAGTGCACGAGTTTGAACACGTTGTTGTTGTGTAAACCTTGAGAAGCAAACTGGTTATTGAATTTCAACAGAGGTCCATTGAAAATTTGTAGGACAGTTATTCTTATCACGACAAAATATTCTTTTTCACTTTATTTTTCTCCTAATATTTTTCAACAAATATAACTTACTTTTGCTACAATGGTGAAGTTTACTAAATGGTTCATGTGGAGGAGTGTGTTTTCATTTTATTTATTTATTTATTTAAAATATATGAAATTACTAATATGCCCTACTTAAAAATATTTTTTTAAAAAATAATGTATCATTAACTACTCTTTAGGAGAACTTCGTGGCACACACCTATTCAAAGTTCCACAACCTCACAATGCAATCCAACAAGGTAAAGAGACCATCACACTATTTTTTTTTTTTTTTATATCATAAACTTGTTGAGGTAAGGAGTGAAGAGTACATGATGTAGTAAGCGGTAGTACTTAGATTATGTTAATTATCGAGCATTATTGCAAAAACATCCTTACTCATTAACGAGGAGACTAGCGACCACAATAATGTCGAAAAACTTCAACAATCTAAAATCTTCCATCCAATGGATGCACTTACAAGTTTGCCCTATCCCTTATTCTTTGCTCACACTGTATGTGTCATATCGAACGAAAAATCGTGACCATGAAAAAAGCTTCCATCTCATCATGGAGTCCCTCAATGAGTGGAAGCCTCTAAGAAGAAGATGTAGTGCCGGGTAAATATGGTGTGCTTTTGGGACAAAATGGACATTCCTCAACAAAAAACAAAATAAACATAAAAATAAAAGTTTTATCATTGAAAATATAATTATAAATTTGGACCATTCATTTTTTTAATAAATTTATCCTACAACTTAGAATGCTTACTTTAAGGGTGAACCACATTCTGAAGTTATATTTATAAGCTTTTTCACCATGAACCACTTCATACCTGGATTTGTAACACCCTTTACCTCACATCTCATCCGTCACAAATAACCAAACATATCTAAACGACATCATTTCTTTTAAATAAAACCAAACTTGTGCAAAGGGAGAGAATAACATTTTTAATTTAAACGAACTAGCATAACCAATGAAATTGCAAGGAAATAAAATTAATGTTTTCCAAAATAATTCAATAGAAGCAACATCCTAACTACGTCTAACTACGCTCTGATGTCAGATCTTATTAGAGCACAACCCATCATTGAGGGCTATGCCTCATCACCAACATCTTCAACCTCATGTTGATGCTCACCTACATCATAAACAAGGGAAACAACACAAAAAAAGAGTAAGAAACATCTCACTCTAGCTCACGGTGTAAGAATGCAAATCGGATAACCAAACACAAACAAGACATACAACAAGACATAGCATACACAGACAAGCATTATCATCACATTTATTCATTCATAGCACATAATAAATAATAACAGATAACATTATAATACATTATGCAATTGACACATACTACAAGTTAACATGCATGTAGTGTTAGTAAAAACATATCACACATGTGCATTGCCGCTAACAATATACGTAGAGTAGCATAGGAGTACATGTCAGGCCACACCCTATGTGCACTCTCACTAGAAGGACATACTACCAAGGGTTTGGTTGGGATAGCTAAGTCACGCTAGATACATCCCATGCTCACAAGGACAGGACTGAGACTTCCAAATCAAGCAATCCTCAATATTGGTTCCCAAGCTTTTACACAAGAGACCTTCCTTGATAGTTATTCCATATCATACCCTTAAAAGCACTTTTATGCATATGATGTATGTCAAACAGACTCAATGTATTACATCTACATGATTTCACTTCACATATCATATATTTCTCCTATCACATCATATATCGCATGTTCATTCTCAAATACATAGACTAATTATTAGTAAAAAGGCAGTATCAAGATTACAAGGTAATACATCATCCATTTCATACATGGTTCATACACAAGTATCATTCTCTTAGGGTTTCCCACGGGAGCACCAAAACATACAATTACAGGACAAGAATATGAAATTATCAACATATACATACAATTAACATTGATTATAACATACAAAGAAAAACAAAGAAGATAAATACACATTTGGGAAAAAAACGCTCATACATAGGCATACAATAGAGATATAATTGGGAGTCAATCCTACTATCCAACATAAAATCCACCACCCAGAGTGCGACACCTTGGTAATCAAAAGAAAATGGATGCATGACTCTAGGATGATTTCTTTCTTGTTTCTATTCTTTGAACTCTGAAACATGTATGTAAAATAAAAATGTAAAAAAACGTTTGATTGAAAAGTTGTTCTTTTAAAAATCTTAACTTCTCTTTAATCCTCCAGTTAAAACACATAAGATTAGTTACTAATTTTCTTCCCTCTTAATTTAATTAAATAAAACCTTTAATAAAATTTCTTATATTATATTCCAAAACATATCAAATAATTAAATAAATATTAATCAACCTTTATTAATTAAAATTATTAATAAAATATTTATATTATATTTTATGAAAATGTGATCCACACTAGAAATTGTCCAAGAATGAAAAGGGAAAATATTATAATCATAAAACTGTAGTAGTAATATACTTTCTTGATTGAAATATACAAACTCTAGCATGACATGAAGGGTGTGTTCTCACCCAAAATGTTTGGAAAATCTGAACAAGAAAATCGATTGAACTAATACAAGGGGATCTTCAACTTTGACATTTGGAGCCTTCAAAAAAAATGGAAGAAGAAGCCAAGGAAAGCAACAAGTGAGAGAAAGTGAAGAGGAGTGATCACATGGATGGAGTTTGAAGGAGCATGCTCATCGCTTTGTTTGATGTGGGTGCAATCAAGACCTTGGACACCTTCTTTGCACTCATTTGAAAATAGGCCAGGGGGGTATTTGCCATAGACGTTTATATAGCTAAACATCACATAACTGCAATCGGTTGTGACATCATTAATCTCATCAGTGAAAGGGCATGCAAATTGCTTGAAAGCATTACAGCACACATCGGGTGGATACGCGGGTCCCTTGCATTGGCTTGTTAGGATTGTGTAGTTCTTGTTCTCAAAGTCAACTTTACAAGCTGCACACAACGTTTCACTTATATCACCTCAATCATTCAAAATCACATGAGAAGATACTTTGGTTAATGAGTTATAAAAGTCACTCATTATTTTCATTATGATTTTTAAATTTTATAAAAAATAAAATATGCAAGCAACAGAGGTATTAACTTAAAATGAAGATAAAAAAGTAAAAACTAAATCTAGTAAAGTGGAACACATTTCCATAATTCCATTCCAACATTGGAAAATAGTAAAATGTATGCTATATGTATTATGATAAAGACATTATCATCAGTGGCGTAGCATTAGTATGACATATATATAGATGAGTCATACATCCACTAAAACTTTTCTACTTTCTTAGAGATCAATGAAAAAATAAATGGTAACAACCCTTAAGTTTGTCTATTCTGAAAAACTTGCTTTTTTCCCAAAAGAAAAAATACTTATATTTATTTGCATTATATCACTAAATTTTGCACTTCTCAGTAAGTGAGTCATTATAACATCAATTATATTACTAAATTTTACAAGAAAGTTTTGTTCGTGCTATTCTTGAGGGTAGTTAAGTAATGTTTTGAGAAATTTCTTGATAAATACTTATAGGAAAAAAAATAGATAAACTAAGTCAATTTTTTTAATAAGTTACAATTAATTCATGCAATTCATTTTTTTATAAAAATTCTTTCATTTTATTTTTCTAAAAATTAAGGTGCATAAGATTTTAATTAATAAAAACAATTTTTATATTTCCTTATTCTATATATACTTGAAAAAAGATTTCTGCACACTTTAATAGAAATAAAAAGATAGAAAAAATAAATTGATGATGTAATATGATAAGAAAAGATAAATGAAAAAGTATTAAGTCTTACTTGAATGTTTGAAAATATGAGACATTTAAAAATAAGAACCTAGATACTTAGGAACAAGTTTGCATAAAATGTTCTTAATGAAGTTTTTATTCTTTATTATAGATATGATTTAATTTTGATAAATCTACTTTTGGGTAAGATTTTCTTAAAAGATAACTTTTTTTAAGGAGGACAAAGGGAAGAAAATTTATTGAAAAATTTGGGGATAGAAAGAGGGTAAGTTAAAATTAAAAAACCTAATGACACAAAGATGAGAAAAAAGAATAAATAATTCAAAGTACTTAGTGTCCTAAGAACTAAGCTCCTTGTTTTTTTGCTTACCTATCATCATCAACCTTTGTTCAACCTATTATCTTCTATCCAACGGTCACTTAAAGGCAATAGCTATTATATATATATATAGAGAGAGAGAGAGAAGGGATCCTTTTACTCCAGGAGTAAAACTACCTAGAGTTACTTCGTTCAATAACTCATGTTCTACATCAAATTTTAACGATCCAACCGTTCAATTTAAAGTTCTTAATGCATAGATCAAATCTGCAAATTTTTAGAAAATTTGATGATTATTTGATACTTCGTTTCATTAATTCAAATCAATGTATAAAATAATTTTATGATTATCCGTCAATTTGAATTAATGAAACGAAGTATCAAATGATTTTCAAATTTTCTAAAAATTTGCAAATTTGATCTATTCATTAAGAACTTTAAATTGAACGGTTGGATCATTAAAATTTGATGTAGAACATGAGTTATTGAACGGAGTAACTCTAGGTAATTTTACTCCTAGAGTAAAAGGATATATATATATATATATATATATAGAGAGAGAGAGAGAGAGAGAGAGAAAGAGAGAGAGAGAGAGAAAAGAGAGAGAAATGATCCTTTTACTCCAAGAGTAAGTCTACCTAGACTTACTCCGTTCAATAACTCATGTTCTATATCAAATTTTAATGATTCAACCGTTGAATTTAAAATTCTTAATGCATAGATCAAATCTTCAAATTTTTAAAAAATTTGAAATCATTTGATACTTCATTTCATTAATTTAAATTGATGGATAATCATAAAATTATTTTATACATTGATTTGAATTAATGAAACGAAATATCAAATGATTTTCAAATTTTCTAAAAATTTGTAAATTTGATCATGCATTAAGAACTTTAAATTGAACGGTTGGATCGTTAAAATTTAATGTAAAACATGAGTTATTGAACGGAGTAAGTATAAGTAGACTTACTCCTAGAGTAAAAGGATCACTCCTCATATATATATATATATGAAACTGGTAAGAAATAACATGAAAGAATTTCCTTTTTATAAATATTCATCGTAGTCAATACTCTCACTTATATGTAACCCACAAATAAAGAAATAAGTTATGGGTGACAAATCGATTTATTTCTTCATCATTTATGAGAACTATTAATAAGTAAATTTATTTATTATAATAAATTAAATTTAATTCATTCATTTAATTTTATGGATGATTGATGATTTATCCATGACTTTTTCAAAATCCATTAAATTACAATGAGAGATATTTATTAAGTTAATATTTTGAAAGGCTATTTTGACATTAAAAAAAAAGTCTTATAAATTTTAAAAAGACTATATAAAAATACAATGACTTATAAGGAAGAAAAAAAAAAGAAATAAAATATTTTAAAATAAAAATTATTTAAACATTATATTCATGGATTGTATCCATAAAAAAATTGTTAACGAGTAGATTGGATGAATATTTTTGTTTTAAATGTGTTGGATTTTTATGTAAATTTTTAATAAATTTAAATAAATTAATAAATTATTTTTATCCAATCTATTATAACTCACTTAAAAAAATTATCTTATCCATTCATTTACCAATCATAAACCAAATAATTAAAGAGAGAAAAAAGAGGAATGATTTGGTTGTCAACAAAACAAAGTATTTAGCTTCCTCTTTAAAGCCATTGATTTGTTTTAGAATAACCTAATTAATTTGGACATCCTTTAGATATATAATCTCCATATGCCGCCTGATTGAGAATTATAATGCACAAATTTGTTTTCATTTGGCAAGAGCAATAAAACCAAGTTCAATGGAATTGATTTCAGGCACTTGGTTACATTATGATTTCCACATTTGAATTGAAAGGAAATCCATTAAATATAAGCCAAAGCAAGAATTAAAAAGAGAGAAAAATGTTACCTTTCTTAACCTGTAGGAGGGCACGTCCAGTGGATGCCCCAGAATCTAATACGGCATCTGTGTTAACATAAATTCAACCACATTAAGCAAACTAATCTTAACAAATATGAATATCTATAAACCCATCATTAAATGTGACACATAAAAGGGTTGCATTGCATGTACCAGAAATGAATGGGCCAGCAGAGGAAAATGTTGCTAGGAGGAAGCAATAGAGAATGGAAGAGAATATGGCATTTGAAGTACCCATTTTCTCTTTCACTCTCACTTTTCTTTTTTTTTCAAATTTTTCTTTTTTCCTTTGAGGTGTGTGCTCCCTTTCTTTTGTTTTCTGGTTTTGGAGAGATGAAGAAGAGAGAGAGACATGGCAGGAATTGTGGTGCAAATCAACCGTCTTGTCTGGCTGCCAAAGTTCCAATGGCTCTCCGTAAGTTCCCTTGCCTTTGGTAATTTTGGTAGTTTTACAATATGTTTTTCCCTTTAGATAGTTATGTAATGTGCCCAATTTTTTTTCTATAATTGGAAAGAGGGGACTAGTTATCATTTTAACTTATTGGCATAGGATCCAACTCCTAAAACACATTACAATAATAACAACTCATTTAAAAATTAGGTACAAGTAATTATTTAATACTTATGTCAATTTTCGTTTTAGTTTTTTATATAAAGATTCTATGTTTTAATCTTTTAAACAAGTATTTCTTTTATATTTTAGTCCTTAATGTTAGTTGTTTTTAGTAGCATAAAACATAAAACATAAAATAAATTGCTTGTATAAAGACTAAAGCATAAAAAATTTTATATAAAAATTAAAACTAAAAGTTAGCATAAACAAAGATTTGAAATGATTAATTAAATCAAAATGACATAAAATAAATTGCTTGTATAAGGACCAAACCATAAGATTTTTGGATATAGAAATTAAAACTAAAAGTTAACATAAATATAGATGCCAGATGATTAATTAAGTCAAAATTTATTTTCTTGCATTAGAATATTTTTGGTTTGTTCTAACTTAGCTTTTAATGGTTATAAAAAAAATAGAATTGGTAGGCCACTTGATAATAATATTCTTATTCAAGAGTTTGAATTCTAATTCAAATTCCTAACAATTTCTCCATGCTAAGCTTTTTTTTTTTTTCTTCAATAACTATAATATTCTTTGTGGGAGATAATTTTGGTTCGGTATAATTATTATGAGAGACAAAATATAATCTTTGAGTATATAATACATGTCATATTAAATGTTTGAATTCAGAATTACTAATTAAACTCAACTAATTCTACATCAGTTGATCAACATATTTAGTTGTCAACGTTAAAATGGCAGATTCAAAAGAAAGAGGTTTCAAATCATACTATTTTCAAATCTAATAGTTGTTAACATTTATGCATAAATACTCCAGAAAGGGTGCATCTAGAGCTAGCAGTGGATTAACATTTGTACCGCAAAAACAAAGTTCATCTCTTCTAATTTGCATGAAAGCAATGTTATACTGGTCAAACCACCATGCGAAACAGGGAATTAACTTCAATTTCACAAAGGGAAGTAATTTGAGTCAAACTCCACCATACAATATACATTGCTTTATGTTGTATTCAAAATCCCAACTCTTCAGAACGGCTATTATATTATCACTTATCTTAGAATAGTAGATTAAGCCTAGCTAACTCAATCCTACAAAACTGGCTTATAAAGTGAGGATTGCTTTCCACTTATATACTATTCAATTACCTAATCTCTAGTCGATATAGGACTTGAGTTTTTCCCAATACACTCCCTCACGTCCAGTATTATTGGGCTTGGTACGTGGATAAATGGTGGGTGACCCTTTTAATAATATAGGATTGGCGGGACTTGGGTTTTTCCCAATACACCCCCTCACGTCCAGCATTATTGGGCTTGGTATGTAGATAAATGGCGAGTGACCCATTTTTAAGAATCTAGGATAGCTTTGATACTATCTTAGAATAGTAGATTAAGCATAACTCAACCCTACAAAACCGGCTTATAAGGTGAGGATTGTTTTCCACTTATAACTTATACTATTTGTAAATCAAGAAAGAAAAATAGGCCCAAATTTATATTGTTTAAAAGCAATAGAATATTCAAGGCCTGACGCATTTTGAACTGATTTTAGAACAAACAAAAAAAATTTCTCTGAAAAGCATTAAACAGTAAATTGACTATTTTAATAAACAACCATTATAGATATAAAATCTATTTGGATAAATTTCTTTAGAAATATTTTTAGAAAGATAAAAGTAGAAGGAAAACATGAAATATCTTTCTCCATGATTTAAAACTCTCCCATATAGATTTAAAAAAAAAATACAAATAAGTTCATCCATAAATCTAGTTTTAATTTATAAAGAAGTTTATTTTATTTTTTTTCATATTTTTTTCCTTCCATAAATATTTAAAAAAAAGTTTATCCAAACAAAGTTATACTAAAAATTGAAAGATCTGCCGAAAGAGTTATGACAAAACGGCACAAAGTTGCGACTTTAATACCAAGTATTTTTCACAATAGCTTTCCATTATTGTGTTGACATAAGGAAATTCTGTACATAATGACTAAAATCATGAACAAGCAAATTTGAGCTTTTTCTCTTAAACAATTGAAACGTGTGTCTAAATGGTCTTGTGGGTTGTGTTCTGGATTCTTCCTAGCCTAGTTTCTGTGTATTTGGGCAAATGTAGAGGATGCATATCGGAAATATTTCAAAAGACTCGGTTTTAGGTTTATAAACACATATTTCTTTAATTTATTGATACATCTTTTCAAGGATAAATCGTGATGGTCTAACGAGTATTAAAATGAATAATACTTCAAATATGATGACTTTAATGATATTAGTGAATTTATGATTAGAACATTGACACTATAATAAGGGTTTAAATTATTCTTGTCCCTTAATCTTGATTGAAGTATTAAAACCAAACTTAAATCTTTGATGAAAACTATCACTTACATAACCCATAATTCATCATGTTAATCACTAGAAATTATAAACAGAAGCGTACCTAAACTCATGGTAATAAATGAGCAGTGCGGTTTGACCTCTCAAATCAACACATACTCTCTTAAGAAAATTCTTTAATTATCTCTGTCTCCTTCTAATATTGGGATGTCAATAAAGAAAAAAAATGTACTATGATTTGAAGATCTAACTTATTTATAGACAACCTTAAGATTGTCTTTTGATATTTCTATTTTTTACCCATTACAAATAGAATTATCCTTTAGTTATTGTACATTAAAAGTTTCATATCCTTTCAAATACATAACTATCTAAATAATTTATATGTTATTAGATCATTTTAATTTAACACAATCTTACGTATCCTCAATATATAATTATTCACATATAAGTCTAATGTTGGATTAAGAATCCTTTATGAGGAGACTTGTTTTGGTATACTTAAAAGTTTTATATTGCTTAGGAATCAAAATTTAAGATAATTTATAAACATTCTCCTTTCTTAACCTACCAAGATGTTTTTCTTAGGAATAGAATCGTAATGGTCCAATAAGTAATAAAATAGACAATATCTTAAATACAATAACCTTAATCGTGTCGAAACATGTGTTTCAAAGAGACAAGTAAAAAAATGGAAGCATGCCCAAAAGAAATTAAAAATGAATCGTGTGAATTTGTTGCGGTACAAATATGTCGATTTTCTAGGAGTTGCACACATGATTTTGGAACATTATTTAGTTAAAGTTGAATTTCCAGTATTGAAGTCATTTATACTTTGATACTCATTAATAGGTTTATTCTAAAATTTTGTATAAGATTCCTAACTCCCTGAAAAAAAAATTATATTTTCTTCACTTTTAGTCAAATATGCTTTTTAGTATCGAGTTTGATAGAAATCCATAACAAAACAAGATTACTTTTTCAGTAAAATCAACGTTGAAAACCATTTTCGTGAGTTGGGGGATGGCTATAGTTGAACATTACATGCTAGCTGAACATTTGAATGTGCTGATGGCTCAAGTATCTACGATGTGTCTATTTGTTATAAACTTGAATAGAAACAGAATTAGTTTTAGAAGTTTAAATAACTTTTAAAGTAGTTTTTTTGTAGAACTTGTAATACATGAGAGTTTACCATAGTATAAAAAATATCTACAATGTCTGTGCATATATTATTTAATAAGTAAAACTTAGGTCTTTGAGTTTAGAAGGCGTTATAATATCATTTTCTAAATTATAGAAAATTTAAATAAAAAGGTTTCTAATAGTATAAATTGACAATTATCTTAATCCAAAATTTTAAAAATATGTGAGTAAAATGATATTATATATATACATTTAAGGATCAAAATAACAATAAGTAGTTTAAATTAGAAATTATTTGAAATTCTAAAAATTTATTTGAATTTTTTTAAATTTCAAATACTTTTGTAACATTGTTCACCACTTTTTAGGATTACTCATTATTTAATCTAGTTTCAAAATGATAAATACAATTGAAAATTTGTAATATATGTTTAAGTTAACCTTAACTTTGAACTCTATTGGTTTATTTAGGTAAATTTCTTTAGAAACACTTTGAGAAGAGAAAAATTAGAAGGAAAAATAAAATAAGTATCAGTTAATTTGTAGAATTGTTTTTCTATTAGTTTCTTTAAAATCTTGTTTTAACTTATGTATAAGTTAACTTTAATTTATTAAAAAAAACATTTTAATTTTTTTCTTTTAAAAGTGTTTCTGAAAAAAATTATTCAAACATGACCTACATTGAAATTTATGTGCAGAACTGAAAATTCGATTTTGGTGTAAAGCAGACTTATGGAATTGGGTCATATAGTGGTTAGACAGGTCGATGTTCCTTGTCATCATAATAACCTGCGAGAGGTCATGATGTTGTGGCCCATTTGTTTTTCGTTCATTGTGGGTTGGGCTTACAACCTTATGTGATAAGTTAAATAGCGACAAACTTTTGAATGAAAATCTATACAACTAATAAAAAAATATATAAATTCTCACTTTTACATGGATATGTTTGCTTATATTTTTAATCTATATTTCAATAATCTTTAAATTATTTAAAAATAACTGTTTTATTTTTATAACTTCTCAAACTTTTTAATTATTAATCGTTAACTTTAATTTTTTTATTTTTTATTTTAAAATAAAATACACGGAAGTACAAAAATATCTTTTTATGTTAATATATAATAAATTAAATTAAATATTGAGATAGAGTTTTACTTACTCTAAGAATAAGTTTTGGTAAATTTGTTTTATTTAATAACTCATGTGTTATATCAAATTTCAGCAATTTAACTATTAAATTAAAA